GCCCTTGGATCATCCTCGTGGCCTCCTCTGGACTCATTCTAACAGGTCCATGTCCTTCTGATGTTGGTGGCCCCAGAACTGGAGGCAACACTGCAGGTGGGGTCTTACAAGAGTGGAGCAGAGGGGGAGAATCACCTCCCTCGACCTGCTGGCCACGCTGCTCTGGATGCAGCCCAGGACACGGTTATTGGCCTCTGGGCTGTGAGCGCACATTGCCAGCTCATGTTGAGCTTCTCATCCACCAGCACCAGTATGGGGGACACAAACCATCACCAGGTCTTCGAGGGTGCGATACGCTGCTCTGGGTGGGATGCACCTAATGTTGGGCCTCTCCCATCTGCCTTCTCCATGGTCTCTTTTCTGCTTTCACAGTGCCCTCACCATGTGTGGAAAGAGGTCCAAATGCTCCTTCTCCCGCCTGGAAGTGATCCTCATTGTTTGCCTGACATTTTTGTTAGTGGTGACTGTGGTGCTCCTCGTCCTCCACTTTCTCTCCAAAAACAGCAACGGCAAGTTGAGCTATTTCAGTCCGACCATCACACCCTGCTGGATTGTGTGTCCTGTGCAGTAATTTAAATTAAAGGGTTACAGGTAGAGAGTCACTGGGCCACTGCTGAGCATTCATAGTCTTCTCTGCGCATGGTCCTCTCGCACAGCTGCAGCACGGTGCTGTTGCTGGCCTCTGTGACAGGAGCATGGTGGTCAAACCCAACATAAACGTCTCTTAGGACTTGGATGCACTGTCTTGGGGCTGGTGGGTGAGACTGGTTGCAGGGATCCAGACAACCTCCCTTCTGTCTCTCTGCCTGGTGCAGGGTGTCCCAAGAGCCCCTTCCTCCTGGCACTGTACCAAGGAGATTCACAGCCATTTTAAGGGTGGCCCTGTTCACTCATGCCATTTTAAATTAGAGAAATGCCCTGAGGCAATTTGTGGCCATGTGAGCCAATTTCTCCTCTATTTTAAGTGACAACCGAGGAAAGGCCAGACTGGGAAGACCAACTGTCCCCTTACCCTCATGCCCTGCCTTGAGCAGCAACGGCTGGCTGGGGAAGACTGGGAACAGATCAAGCACATGGAAATATTTTCCCATGCAGTCATCTCAGCCTCCAGTGATTTGTGACTCCGGGATTTCCTGAGACGCAGATAATTTTTTTTTTTTTTTTTTTCATTTAATATCCCTCAATGACTTTTCTTCCGTGAGTTTTTCCAGATGCTTCATCTATCCTGTGGCAGGACTTCTGCAGCTTCATGATGGCTGGGATGAGACATGATCTCCTTTGGGAGTCCTTTTCCTCACTGCTTGCCTGGAGGTCATTGCCCAGAGCTGCTTTTCCCTTCTTTGAGCTTCTGCTGGCTCTGTTGTGATTTTTTTGAGACCAGGGAGCTAGTGCTGAACGTGGGACGTGTTGGAGGCACCAGGGCAACATAGATATGTGCCCATTTTTCTTCTCTAGTTCTTTCCCAGTAGCTCCTGACATGCCATATCCTTTTTCTCACTGCTGCTAAGCTGAATTTTTTGTGCCAAAACAGCTCTTACACGCTCGGATCTGTTTCCTACATGAGAGCAGTGGGCTTGGAGAGCTTAATCGGCAAAGCTAGGCTTGTTTCTTCCTCACTGTGAACCACAACATATTTCACACAGTCAGTGACCCCATCTTGTGAGCTCCCTCTGCAGTTCTCCAGGCCTGGTCCACCACTTACCGCCTCAAATGCCTTAACAACCTCAGCACCCTTTGACCACTTTGACAGCCTGTTGGAAACCCATGCAAACAATATCAGCTGGATCCCCCTATCCACAGGCCTGCTGAGTCCTCTGGCGATGTCAAGCCAGTTTCAGACATGCATTCTCTTTTAAAAGGCTGGGTTGTCCCTTCTGTTCCTGATTCTGCTTGGCCATGTGTCTGCTAATCTACATTTATTCTTATTATAGATTCCAGCAAAGTAAGAACAAACTACTTACTGGGCGTAGGTCGAGCTGACTGCACAGGACCTGTGGCAGAAATTCCTCTGGTAAGTTTTGGGAACTGAACATAGGGTTGATGAAATACTGACTTTCATAATATCTGAGTATTTTTTGCAGGACTTCTGGTTTAGAGGTTCTGACTTGACCAATGGTTGTCATCTTCTAACAGGTGAAATTTCTTTGAAGCTTTGATCAACTTGATCTAGTGGAAGATGTCCCTGCTCATGGCAAGGGTGTTGGTACTAGATGATCTTTAAGGTCCCTTCCAACCCAAACTATTCTATGATTCCATGATTCTTGCAATCACAGAGCAAGATAGTTGCAGCTCTGGGTGTTCGTATGTTGAATGAATCGTCGGAACCTCTGGCAAATCTACTTAGAAAAATACATGCAAATTAATACATTGCTCAATATCTTGTCTGCGTGGGCTTGATGGAGCTCTTCCCTTCCAGATGGGTTATGCCAACCTAGACCAGGTGGGTGGCGGGCTTCTCACACACCTCTACAGTCGAGCCTTCATCGTAGCAGAACCTGACGACTCCAGGCGAGTAGTGTTTGTCAGCGCTGACATAGGAATGGTGTCTCAGAGACTGAGGCTGGAGGTACGTGGCTGGAAATGAACGACTAGCACAGTTTGGGTTGTCGCTGGTATCAGCTTTAAGGTTGTAGTCATTGCTAAATAATATTGAGCATGGCAGCATACTGGTCATTTGCTTTGGGATCTCCTTGCAGCACAATCTTGGAGAGATGTTGTGCCTCTGCTGAAAAGGAGCTTTTGATTCATCAGCAAATGAAGCTGGACTTTGACCACGCTTTTCTTAGCAGAAAAATTATCACAAATACATTTGAATCACGAATACATTGTCATGGTGCCTGTGTAATGCTGAGTCTCCAGCACCACAGAGGAGGGAGGGAGGTGCCAGAGAAGTGGGGACTCCTTGGATGATCTGGACTTCGCTGAAAGTTGGCCATAGAGGTCTTCACTTATCAGATTTTTTTTATTTTAAGGCTCTTGTCAAGTCAAAAGCTATAACCTACTTGTTGTGACACCAGTATGGGCACATCTGGCAGAAAGAGAAGAGCAAGGAAGAAGATGAATGGTTGGGCTTTTTGCAAGGACTGATACAAATCTCTGTAGCCTTTGGGTGTGAAAAAGGGTTTTTTAGGACCACTTTCCTCCTTCTAGGTGCTCAAGAAACTGAAGAGCAAGTATGGAGAACTGTACCGACAGGACAACGTCATTCTCAGTGGTACCCACACACACTCGGGGCCTGGTGGATACTTCCAATACACCCTCTTCTTGATCACTAGCAAAGGTTTAATCAGACCATCCCTCAATGCTATTGTGAACGGTATTGTAAAGGTCAGTGTCACCCAGGCTGTTGATATGAGAGCCCATAAATGCAGAAAAGGTGGGGGGAGATACCTTTGTGACTAATGGAGCTCTTGCTGTGACGTTCTTGGTAGCACCTTTGAATGTCACAGTCTTAAAACACACTTGGAGGGGGGTTTATGCTTACCAGTGAAATCAGATCAAAAACCAGAAGCCTTGAAGTCTTTCTATAGAAAGAGACAGTTGTGGATGGTTTCAAAATATTATAATATTTTTCTAGAATTTTAGAGTACTTAAAAAGTCCCCAGATTCCCAACAAAGGGTTGGGGACAGGCAGGCAGGGAAAGTTTTTCCAGATGATTTCACATATGCCTTACATGCATGGACTAATATTCCCTGCCTTCCTGCTTTTCAGAGCATTGATATAGCGCATCAGAACATGAAGAGAGGAAGGGTTTTTATAAACAGAGGCACTGTAGAAAACAGCCAGATCAACCGAAGCCCTTTCTCCTATCTTGAGAATCCAGCATCTGAACGCAGCAGGTATAAGCTCCTCAAGCAGAAGAGAAACAGAACCTTGAAGAGGACCCTTCAGTTGGGACCATAACCCAATCATCTTACAGCTGGTGTTTCTGGTCATTCATGGGATGATTGAAAATTTGGAGCCAAGACCATGGCAGAATGACACTGTTGCCATTCTGGGCACTTGGGTGTGTGTGCATCCCCAAAAATTAGTTGAAAGAGTGGGCTTGAAGGTTGTGGTTGCCCCCTCCAAGCATGTGAGGCATCAGTCAAGGATGTGATATTATGCATTGTTTAAAAAAAAGAAGAAAAAAAATTTCTTCAGTAGCATTTCAGTCAGAATGCTTTAAAGTGCCAGCCTTGCTGTGTGAACTTGCATTTGGTGATAGTTCCTCTCTCCATCCCCTGGAGAAGCAGTGTCTGAGGTCAACAACAACCATAACTCTTCCCTGACCTTCACAGCTATTTTTAGATGCTCCTCTAAGTTCTCACTATGGTCTCATAAAATCTGTAATAACCTCTTCATTTCCTTGCTCAACCCAGTAGAGATGTAATGTGTTTGAGCAATGCAGGGCATGACCATGGCTCTGGTGCTAATGGGATTTCCTTATTTTGCTTTCATCCAGGTATTCATCCAACACAGATAAAGACATGGTGATACTGAAGATGGTAGATGAGAATGGACAGGAGCTAGGCCTTATCAGGTACTGACCACATATTTTTCTCCAAATTCTCATAAACCAGAGTTCTGTAGCAATTCTGTCTTTCTGCATAAGCGCTCCTTCCCAACGCTGATCCTTGCCTGTAGAGCATTACTCTCAGCTAGTAGTCACCAGAAGGTCTCTGAAGGGAAAGTGACAGTCAATGAGTGCATAAACAGGTCAGCATCCCTCATCTACTCTGGGAGATACAGCAGCATATGGCCCACCTACAGCTGGGCACATCTCCTGGCATGACCCAAAGGTATCTGGGGAAGATGACCGTAGCTGGTCTTCCCTTGTAGGGCTGCAGGAAAATCCCCTCTGGGCTTCTCACTGTGCCCCTCCAAGCAGATCCTGACCCCGGCATCTCCAGGACCCTTTGGGCTCCTCTTCTCTTGGTTATTTTCTTCAATATCCCACATTTAGCAGAAGTGTGCCATTCCTGCAGACAGCATTTATGATGCCCATCCTATCAACAGATCTGCTGGGCAGTGTTCTGCTGCATGAAGTTCATAGCTCAAGGTCAGGCAAATGAAATAACATGCAGTAAAAAAGGCATAATTGTGTTTTCCTTGTTTAGAAGTCAGGAGTGAGAGTCTGACTGCATTAAGAGGAAGAGGAGGGTTTTCTTTTTTGTAAGAATGAAAGTGTTCCTTTTTTTCCTTTTTTTCCATTGTTGTCTTCTCCTTGTTTCTTCAAAACAAGAAAATAAAAATTCCTCCAAAATACAATTCTCTGGACTTGGAAAAGAGTCAGTTCAGGTCTGAAATTGCTCTGGGTGACCCTGATAATTATGCTGCCAAATTCTTGTGGCCTCAAGACCTTGACCATCATAGCCACGAGCCCTCCTGGTCAGGAAGGGAGAGCATGGGAATAACTCTGCCCTTGTTAATACATCTCTAGGTACCAACAGTCTGTGTTTGTATTCTCCCAAAGAAAATGACCATATATAGATATGGGTTATATATCAATATGGATTGATAGATATTAATATCTATATGTATAGACATATAAATATGCAAATATATAGATTGAACATGTCAGTGGCCAGTATGTAGACTGAACAATGCATTTCTTGTGTGTCTCTTCTGACTCCTCCTCAGCTGGTTTGCTGTGCACCCAGTCAGCATGAACAACACAAACCATCTTGTGAACAGCGACAATGTGGGCTATGCGTCGTACTTGTTTGAACAGGAGAAGAACAAGGGGATGCTTGCTGGAGAGGTGGGAGCGTTTTCAGACTACTGAAAATAATGGGGAAAAAATGCACTGCGACAGCAAGGGGATGGTTGGTTCTTTCTATGGGCCAAAGTGGGTTCTTTCCTATTTCAAGTGAAATAGGACAGCAGAGTAAACATAGAAAAAGGAAGACAAAGATGAACACTTTGATTTATTTACTTTCTTCCTCTAGAAAAGAGAAATTGCAAGGTATACTCTTGACTTTCCAAACTAGTAATCAGTGACATTTATTTAGACTTTAGGAATGAACTAGATTTATTTTGATTCAACTATCGGAAATACTAGAAAGATGTATGGGATACTTGATCCAAAGGGATAATATATTGCGTCTCTGGTGTGGCATCAAGTCTGTGGTCAGCCTCACTACTTTTTTATGGCTTCCAGACAGTTCTGCCTTCTGATTTTCATTTATCCAGAAGATTTGCCATCCTCAGAGTGCAAACACAGGTCCTTTAAAAAGAATTATTTCCCCTGAAATGTAAATATAGAGATGAAACCATCTCACAGACACTTGGAGTCATTTGTTGATGAAGAGGGTGTCCTGTGTGTATCTCCAGCATGTAGCTTGAAACAGCTGTCCAATTCCTATTTTAATAGTCTGGGCAGAGGAACACATGAAGTTCATACCAAAGACGGAAACTAAAGGAATTCTACCTAATTCCTGCTTGCAGATGCTTTTTTTTATAGTGGATTATCTAAAAACTTTTGACAAGACTTGACTCTAATGCATAGTTATGGGTGCAAGTCAGTGCTGGTTGACACACATGCAAAGCTCAGAAGTGTCTGAAGGATCCAGTATTTAGCTGTGTGCTCTGCTGGGCACGTTTTGTCTAGCAGTCTTTCAAGAAAATGGCTTAAGAGCTGATAATATGTCAAAATACGTGGTGTTGATGCATCCCATCTCTAAAAGAAGGAGAAAAAATGAGAGTATCTGTGAGCTGAATTTAGGTGACACTCAGTATGTAACCAGCCTTGCTTCTGACAATTACTGCTTGATGTTAACTACTGCAGTCAGATCCAACCACTCTAATCCTATAAATAAGTCCTGGTGAAAGCCTGGCAGAAAAAAACCATTGTGCAAAGTGCTACAATGATCTGTTAACACTTAATCAGTAACATGAGAAACTAGGGACATAGAGGGAAGAGCTGCTGCTGAGATGGAAGAGATAGATGAAGAAACGCTGGTAGTTGTGTCTTCTGTGTTCTATTCTTCCTTTCTCTTCCTGTCCCTAACGCTTGGAACACTCCTAAATCCCCATTCCAGCCCTCCCCGTCACTGCAGAAATATTGACCACCATCTCATGCTCTTCAACTGGCTTTAACGCCAGCCCTGACTGCAGGGAAAGGCACAGGTGATGTTTGCCATCACTGCAAGGCATTAAAATCTATCTGACCATGTCTGGTTTTGGCAGGGCTCTTTTGTTGCTGCCTTTGCATCCTCCAACCTCGGAGATGTGTCGCCCAACACCAAAGGCCCATTCTGCGTAAACACGGGGGAGTCGTGCAATAACCCACACAGCACCTGCCCCGTGGGAGGGGTGAGTATGTCTTACCTGATCTATGTTAAATTCTGATAAGGAGAGAACTCGACATGGAGCAGCAAATACATAGCCGTATGGTGGACCATTGTGAGTGAAGAGGACATTAAAAAAAAAAAATCACATCTTTATGGACTATTCTGGATACCTCTTTCAGGAACTTACCGTGTCTTGTCCTCATACACCCTGTTTTCTGGTCGTTTAGCTCAAAATTAAATTTATCTTGATGCAAAGGTTAGTTTAGTAACTTGGTGCTCAAATTTGAGACGGCTAGCAAGAAGCAATTACTTCCCACAACATGAAAATTGCTTACAAACTCATCCACTTTGCAGTGCTACATGTTCTCCATAACAAATGATCACTAACATGTAAACAAATTTCTTCACAGGCAGCGATGTGCATGGCCATGGGTCCTGGTAATGACATGTTTGACAGTACAAGAATTATAGGGCAAAATATCTACTTGAAAGCAAGGGTAAGTGATATTTTGCTTTACTAGTGTGCATGAATGCTGTTATTATAGGAGTGTATGTTCATTTAAGCAGCTTCCTTGCACCTGTTTTTGTGAATGTTTGTAGGTTTAAAAGACTCTAAAGTCCATATTTATAAGCTTAAAACAAAGTTTCCTGATTATTCAGAAATCACTCACTTTTATTTAGATACATCATTGTAGGTGTTGCAATTTGAAAATGTTGGTTTAGTGTTTTAATCTCCATATTGCTCATTGGCGTGTAATGTGGATATTGCCCCTTATAATCTCCCCCTCCCTCCCATGCATGCATCTCAGAGGTGTCATGATGGGAAAAAATGGCTGGTATGAAAGACTCCTAGAAGAGCTCAGAGACTCCACCATGTACCACTTATTGGCCAGCTTTGGAATCAAGCTCCCAAAATAAGGCAAATGTGAGTTAAAATGTGCCAGCTTAAACATCCACAAAAGATGTTCATCTCGCCCTGCTTGACTTGCCCTGCTTGACTCAGCTGATGTCCTCCACTCTATGGGCTCCCTTACATCCCCCACATCCTTGGGCTTAAAAGTCTCCTGAATTTACTGGTTCCCCTTCTGCTGGTTCGTGTAACGTAAGAGTAGACAGCAAGAGGACGTTTTTGGCACCATTTCAGGGACAGCAGTTTGTAGGAATTGGAACAGGTCCAGCAGAGGAGTAAGAGCAGAAGGCTTGATAGTGGTGGTTTCCTTTCAATCACCATTTCAGATGCTTGTCCTGAAATAACTCCAGGCTGATCGTGACTTGCAAGTGGCCCAGCGTGTGTATCAAATGGTGAGGGAAAACATTGCTGTCATTTTTAATACTGTGGACTCTGCCATCAAAGGCTGTGTCCTCTATCCCTTCCTACAGTTACAGGAAATGTTACTAAACCTGTATAATTTCTGGCAATGCTTTCTGTGTACCAACTTCAGGCATGTGTGCCAGAAAATCATTCACGAAGAGCTGAATGGCTTGGCTGTCCGCCGTGTAGTAAATACAGAGTAAAGTCCATGTGTTTTGAAGCAAAGAATGCAACAAAGTCATCCTTCTCCTGTACTGGGCACTAGTGAGGTTGCACCTTGAATACTGTGTGCAGTTTTGGGCCCCTCACTATAAGAAGGATATTGAGACACTGGAGAGCATCCAGAGAAGGGCAACGGAGCTGGGGAAGGGTCTGGAGCACAAGTGTGATGAGGAACAGGTGAGGGAGCTGGGGTTGTTGAGCCTGGAGAAAACGAGGCTGAGGGGGGAACGTTCTAACTGTCTACAACTACTTGAAAGGAGGGTGTAGAGAGGTGGGAGTCGGTCTGTTCAACCAAGGAACAAGTGACAGGACAAGAGGAAATGGCCTCAGATTGCACCTGGGGAGGTTCAGATCGGATGTCAGGAAGAATTTCTTTCCTGAAAGGGTTCTCGGACACTGGAACGGACTGCCTAGGGAAGCAATTGAGTCACCATTCCTGGAGGTATTTCAAAGATGGATAGATGAGGTGCTCAGAGATATGGTTAATAATGGGCAGGTATTATTGGACATGATCTCAAAGATCTTTTCCAGCCAAGCGATTCTATGATTTTATTAAGTGCATTTTTCTCACAGAAAACATTTTTTCTGGTTGGTCTAAGATGTGAGAAATGCCAAGAGGTTGCAACTAGGAAAAAAAGTGGCCATCCTCATGGAGTAGGTGCAGGTTTCAGCTGTAAAAAGAAAGGCTTGCACAAAACTGCTGACCACACAGTATCCTCCCAATGTTACTTTAGACAGGGAGAGCTTGCAAGACTTGGGGCATGCAGGATGTTGAGATGGGGTGATAGAAATAAAGGAGTGTGGGAAATACACTCTTGCTTTAACACCTGGAAGAGGCCACTGGAAGGTGTCAACAGAATGGAGAAATAATTCAAGTAGCTGAATCTCAGAAGAACTGGGTACCTGATTTCTTCTTCCTCAAGGATTTCCACCTTGTGTATGTCCCTCCTTTAGGAACTGTTTGAAAATGCTTCCCAGGAGATCACAGGACCCATCAGCTCCGCTCACCAGTGGGTGAACATGAGTGATGTCTTGGTGGAGCTCAATGCCACGCACACGGTAAGGGTGGGAGCTCTTGGGACACAGGCATAAGGAAGGAAGAAATGTTCTATTCTTGTAGCAGGACTTATCAAGCTGAGGGGAACTGGTTTTAAACGCTCTCTTTTTTCCCCGCCTCTGATTAAGGTTAGAACATGTAAACCAGCCTTAGGACACAGCTTTGCTGCGGGGACTATTGATGGAGTGGGAGCGTTCAACTTCACACAAGGTAATTTAGGGAGCAGATGTCAATATGGTTTCGCAAAAATGGGGAGGATATGGGGCTTCCCCCAAATAGATTCAAACCCCCAGACTCACGTAAGAGCATCAATAGCTGGTTGAACCACAGTCTCCAAAGGGATGTCTCTTAGGAAGGTGTGATCTTACAGCCCCTTCACAAGTTTATGTTTATCAGAAAGCATCTGGAGAAGGATACAACCATGCTCTGAAGGAAGGAAAGCACTGGATAGGGAATGGGGATAAGAGAGAACTGGCTTTGGGGCAATCTTTCTCATTTGTTCTCATTACCTGATGGCTGTCAAGATGGAGCTCAGCTGGGCTGAAGCTCAGCTGCTTTTCAAACCACTCCAGAAAAGGGAGATAGTCAGAACCCACTGAGAAATATCCTATCACATATAAGCAGGGAGGGGGTAATAAATGAGTTTTCTGCCTAATAGCTGCTGAGGCTGCTGAAGGAACAGCATTTAAAAGATATTTCCCCCTCAAGGCTCAGTAGAAGGGGACCCGTTTTGGGATGAAATCCGGGACCAGCTGCTGGGTGAGCCGTCCAATGAAACAAAAGCCTGCCACAAACCCAAACCAATCCTCTTTAGCACTGGAGAGGTAAGAATACACTGGTGTGTGCCCTGGGAAGCACAGAGACTGTTCAACTGAGCTAGGTTTTGGTAGAGCACTACAGGACAATGTCTGTGCCAGCCCATACAGTGATGAACGAAGAGAGAGAAAGAGCTGCATGGGCTTTGAAGGCATGAAAATAGAAAGCAAGAATAAGTGTTGTCACTAGTTTGCATCAGAATGAGAGAGGTGCAAGTTTTCCTCTTGCAGAGCATCTTTTCCATATATCCCAGGAGGAGGGACCAGACCTGCTGCTCTCATTAGGGTCCAAAAACCCAACTGAAGATCCACCCTGGCCTAATTCTCTGCCTGTGAAACAGCCCTGAGCAAGATGCACAGGGAAAATATATGAGGTCAGGGAAAGCCAATGGTGTATGGTGCTCAGCATTGACTTCCAGCGATCGCTGGCTTCAGGATATCCTCTGCTGGTGCTCACATCTTAATAGCCCTGGGTGTATTTTTCTTCCATCCTACTGTTGGTTTCCTACCTTAATCCATGAAAGGACCTTTCTTTTTGTTATGGGGCACACTGGTCCATGAAAAATGAAGTAACTCATCATGGTGCCTTTTGGAAACTCTGGGGACTGTATAAACTTACCCATCATCTCAATGCTGTCTTCAAAGTTTTCTGCCAGGCTTTGACTTCCTCTGGAAATGTCCTGTTGATTTCTCTGCTTTTCTGTCATGTTTATGCAAGTGTCTGATATTTCTGTGAGTTATAACATCGACTGATACCAGACTTACTCATCTACAGGTAGAATCACACCAGGCTCAGGCTGGAGGCACCCTGAGGTGGGGGTCTCCAGCACAATCTTGGTCCCAGCAGGACCAAAGCTGCAGCTACAGCAGGTTGCTTGGGGCCATGTCCGGAAGAGTTGGAGCAGTCAGCAAGGATGTAGATGCCCCACTGCTTGGGTCCCTATCCCAGGGATGCCCCACTCAAACAGGGAAGGGCTCTTCCTTAGGGTCAGCCTCAGTAGAGCTGCTGCCCCATTGGTCCCAGCCCATCCCCATGCTTGAGGCTGCTCTGTTCTGGGCAGGACTTGATGTTCCTTCTTACTGAACTTTCCTAAAATACTACTTACAACTTTAAAAGAAAATTGATGCTCCATTTTCCACTTGCTGTTCCCTTGGCATTAAGACAAATGCAGTGTAGTGGAGAGGGATCACATCCAAGGTCCTTTAGAACACTTAGAGGATGCCATCTGGATGAGGCAATTTGTTGTTATTCCTTTCATCAGTCTCTTTAAAAGCTTTCTTGGTGTTGCTTTGTGTTCAATCAGCTCCTCACCTTATCTCTTCTAAAGAGGTCCCAGTGCACAGCCTCCTCCCACCCCACCTCCTCTGTCCAGAATGGTGTTACTGAGAGTAAATTACACTTTATTCTTAACTGTTTATCTCCTTCTGAGCATCCTTTTACAGATGTTCTGGCAGGCCTCCTGCTTCTGATGTGCTTCACAAGGTTTTGTCATTCATGTTTTGCCCCCAGTAAATTGGTCCTCAAAAATATTTTGTTGTAGTGGAATTTTGTGTTTCATTTGCTGGAGCCATGCCGCCCTTGAGCTCTTGCTGTTCTTAATTTCCTTTTAACAGGCTTCTTCATTGTTATCTAGCTATTTTTTTTAAGATGCAATGTTGCTGTAGTATGTGTTTTGGCTGCTACAATGGTGCTGAGTCAGAGTACAGTGTGGTCCCTCCTAGGGCTAGGTCAAGGATTTCCGGAGCATCACCCTCTCGGTGACTTAGAAACCATCCCTCTACATCAGATCTGATGGTGCCTTTGCTCAGCTAATGAAGCAGTAACTCTCATTTTGCATCGCCATCGGGTTCTCTGATTCACTCATTTACTTTTGCTGTCTTGGTCAGATGATCAACCTTATTGATTCTAACACTCACTGGTGACAAATCTGGTGGCCTTTTATGGTGGGGTTACAACATTGGTAGATAAGGCTAAAGGAACTAATGTCATCTGCCTGGACTTGTGCAAGGCGTTTGACACCATCTCACATGACATTCTTGTCTCTAAATTGGAAACACTTGGGTTTGATGGATGGACTACTCGGTGGATA